AATAAACACAAATCTTAATTTTTATTCTGATTAAAATTTTATGTATTATTAGTTGCATACTGCTTAATTAAAAAATTAGAAATACTGTAGACGTGTAGACATAAAAAACACTGAGTTATAGAGGTAGACAAATCTATTAAAGATAAAAGTAAGTGTCTGAAACTGTGTTATCAACACATTTAATAATATTTCAACAAATTGATAACAATAACAAAATTTATAAATTGTCATAGCTCCTGTTTATGCATCTCTTTAAGTACTTTTTCAATAATACTTGTAACTACAGGTTGAAACAAGATAAATTGAAACAAACAACATGACTGGTAGCAATTTTTTTATGTTGGAGACAAAATACTTTGGTCGTCAATAAATAACGATTGACAGTCGGAGACAACTGATAACTGAACAGTAGAGTAGAAGTCAAACCTATAGTCGTTTTCATATTAATGACACTTTTTGTGTAAATCGGCCTTTAAATTAAAGATTCATTTAGACTTCTACAACCTAAAACCGTGCGATCAAATAAAAAATAAATTAGAGTAGGCGTCGATTAAATTCAGCAGTTGGCAACACATTGGCTAGGAATCTGGGCTGGAAATTTTCCACAGACACTGAAAGTGAAAATGACCATCCACCGTTTTCCTCTTGTACAGCAATAAGTGAACATTATTTCACTCAAAAGGAATAAAACTCAAACTTGTCAAAGTTTCGCTGACATTTGATGTCAAAAATCAGGATTGCCATCTGAAGGACTTTAATCACCGCCTACTCTAATTTATTTATTTTTTTTTTGATCGCACGGTACTTGATGCACATTAATATGAAAAAAAAAATTATTTGTTCACTCGATGAAATGATTTTTGATAACGCAACTTTCGGGTTTTCGAACATTCGTCCATATTTCATGAGACTAAAACAGAAAAAAAATAATAAAAAAAAATTGTACAGGGTGTTTTTCATAATTTTACGAGGTCTGCGCCTGTAAGATGCAATCAACAATATGCGTACATTAGGTGATATAGCCTCTTAAAGTTGTGTGAAACACCCTGTACATAAAAAATCGAATAACATAATCGATTTATAAAGTTTTTTTTAATGTCACTGACTGAATAATTTTTGAAACTTGTTTTAACAAAAAGCCGCTGTTTTCAAATAATATTTAACACTCATCTTGACTCAAAACATGAGGTCACATTTATTTAAAACTTGCAATAAAAATCATTCAAGATAAAACCACGATTTATCACAAAAAGTTAAGATACTAATAAAACATGCAATTTCCTGAAATTAAAAAAAAAGTAGGGAAACACAAGCCGCTACAACTGACGAAACTGGAACAATAGTTGATAATTTCCGATAAAGATTAAACTGATAAGTTTCCTAATTAATGAAAGTAGATATTGTCATTTTTAAAGTGGTGCTTGGGAGAAAACCACAATGTCGACTTCGGTAAATATTCACCAAAGTTCTAAGGCAATTAGTTCAATATTTGGAATTTTAGATTGATGATTTACAAAACGAATTTGTAATCGGTGTGAGTGTCCTTGGCGGTGTTTGTTTGCTTCTGACTTGTGCAGTGATTGGTCTTTTTGTGTGGAATATCCAGCTTCACAAAAAAATCAAAAAGTTGGACCCTTTCGTCAACTTCAAGCTTCAGTAAGTTTCAAATCTGATTTTTCTTGTAAACATTTGTCATAGAATTTGTGTGGAATAGAAATGATTCACATATTGCACTGTATAAACAATCACTTGTTTAGTTACCTTATTTTTCGTTTCTGCTGATAAAACAGTGATAACAATGTTAAATCTTAAAGGAGACCCAAAAAAGTGAACAATGACCACCATCATCGTCCCCACCAACCAACATCTCTCCCTGTTGATGACTTTGTAACAGTTTACGACAACTCTGGATATGAAAGAAATGAAAGAAATAACAGAAACGAGATTGAAGATAAACGCGACTTAAACCCAATTGCCATGAGAAGTAAAGCAAGTTTTGATAATGAAAACTTCAGTTTTGGCTCTAATAAATTATCAATGTGAGTTGTAAAAAACAATAAAAAAATTATTTTCAATTTATTTGCTTCAGGAATTCGTTTCGACATCCGGATTATCTGCATTTAGATAACAGGTTTTACTAACCTCTGTTTTATCTCGTATTAAAACACTAAATCCCAGCTTTACTCATTTTGTATTGTATTTATTGCTTTTTTTGTTTCGTGTTGTAAATTATTTGTCAAATAATAAATTGTTCGTTTTTTATTTTTTTTTATTAGGTACTCAAATTTAAAAATGTGGGTGATATAAGTTTAAGTGATAAGAGTGAGTAATTGCAACATTAAAACATGTTGTTACAATTTGATAAAAAAATAAATAAAACATATTAATGCAATAATAAAATAATCTTTCTTAACTAAAAGTTTGTCGGCTAATTTTTGTTTTATTTTATTACACCAAAACTCATTCCAGGAAATTTATATCAGAAAGTGATCAATAAAGTATAAGACTTCATTAATTAATTAAAGTAAAATAGTTTTTTATTATTTTAATAACATTGGCGTCAAAACAGTGACAAATTGATTTTCTAATTTCTATTAACAAATGCCAGGTGATCAATATAAACTGTTTCAGTTGGCAACACTGAAATATTACAACTTCAGGTTTTTGACAGATTGACACTGATGGCGTCACTTGACATCAAGTTCAAACAGAACATAACCTATAATCTTGTTATTGTCAAATATTACAGTGTTACCATATGGCAAGAAAAAAAAATTCCAACACAATAGTCATTGTTGATCATCCTGTATAATTAAAAATTGTAGTATATACACATCAGTGTACAATATTATTTTATTCAGTTAAAAGTTATTCTGAGGAGTTGAATTATCATTTATTGTGAGAAAAAATTATTTTGAAATATTTAGTTTTATCTAAAAAAATTTAAATAACCAATAATTAATTATACATAATTCATTGCCTTCTCTTAATTGCTAGATTAAAAAAAAGTTTTTAAAATTTTATTTTTAAATCGTCATTTTGCAACTAATAATAGTAGGTATGTACATACCTATATATCAAGTTATTAAAAGTTTATTTTGTCGAACGTAGTGAGGCAAATAATTCAACCGAGCTACAGAAACTCACTTTTACTCTAAATAACATATATGTAAACTATTTTATCCGATCGAGAATTAAGACCAACATTATAATTAGCAAGAGCAAGTAAATGAACAAAATCAGGGCCGTACCCAGGGGGAGGGATTAGGGGGTTTTTACTAAAAATCCGTAAATTGTATCGGAAAAACACAAAAGACCTTTTGTTATGAAAAACTATGAAATTTTGATGTTGAAAGTGGCAAGAAACCACAGGCAAAATAAAATAAATTTTTATCCTAATCCCATCTAGTTTGGGAAGCCCCTAATTAAAAATTTTTACATTTTATTTTTGTATTTGTTTAGGTGTATAAAAGTTATCATCTGTACCAAATTTTGAAATTTTTTTTCTAAAATGATTTCGGAAATATTGAAAAAAAACCTACTACCTTGCGTAGCATTTTTCGATATATGTTCATAGAAAATTTTTGTTTTAAAAATGAATATTCTATCTCCTGTTTAAATTTGTAACAATAAAAAGTATTAAAAATATATTTTATTTTTTGTTACTTTTGTGAGTTAATTTGAATTTTTTTATGTTTAATTAGGATCTCTTATTTTAATTTAAAATAAAAACGTGTACTTAGAGATTTTTGATTTTTAATCCGCTTTCTTTCATTTCATTTTCATGGACCAATAAAATTTTTGAAAGTGTTTATTAATTTAACTAGTGCAGTTAGTAGTGCAAAATGTTGAATGCTGATAATCTACAATTACCTTTCCAGGAATTGCTGAATCAGCGAAAAAGACAAGAAAGAAATTATATTATTTTGGCATTTCTTTAGCATTTTACCGTGTTTTCAGCTAGAAACAAAATTTTATAAAAAACAAACCGAAAAATCACATAATTAGTTGTTTTTTTTTTCAAGAGTTTAAGCATATTTTTGAGCTAAAAACTTGTTGTTTTCTCAAGATCATAGATTTTTTACTCTATGCTCTTACTCGTGACATTTAGTCATAAAAGTGGTTATTTTTGTGACATTTGCGGATAAATAGTTTTTAAATTACATTTTCTGTCTCAAAATTAAAATCACACTAATAATAATCTCTTCAAAAATTGCAATTGCAATGTTGCCATTTTTACTAAAATTTGGCGAAAATAGTAAATTGGGCTCATAGTCGATGTAAATCTTGTTAACTGCGTCACCTAATCCTTATCACAGCATAACTCTTACCTTTTCACACATAATCGCATTTAATTTCCCTTATCTCATACCTAAACTAAATCCTCTTCCTGCCAACCTCAAATCCAATTTGCTTTGAAAAAAAAAAATGCACTGAGCATCGGCTTGTCCTCGATTCATTTTAGCTAATAGAGGGAGCCTTTTGTTGTGAAGTACTCTCGAGTCGAAAGAAGCGCTTTGGCAAACCGGAGTGTAATTGGTATCAAATCTTTATACAAACATATCAGATGAGGTAGGGAAAACTGAAGCGAGGGTGTGCCGTCGTCTTGGATACCAAAGGGGTGACCACCCACAACCCGGCTATCGAATTGTCATTAACGGCTGTTTTACACTGGATTGTAGTGGGGATTTACCCAAACTATACATCCGAGAGGTGCGCACATCCCATTATTGATTTTTTAACGGTTGTAATGGACAGTCTTTTATTTTTCATATGGGAATTTTCCTCCTGACAATTATTACAACCCCGTTACACGCGTCCACCAGCAGGAGGGCTGTAATGATCCAAACGCCCCCATTGTTACCCCCAAACGGCGCCTGCATTGTTACCCCATCACACTTGCTGACTTCCAGTCAACTAAACTAAACCAATTATTATGTGCCCTTCATACTACTGTTTGACGCTTGTTAGGAGATTCACAAAAAAATAAAGCAACACAGACATCCAACTTTCCCTCATTTGTACCCCCCATGCGCCAATTTCATTTCTAGTCGCAGTGGCCTGTGACCGTAATTTAAGGTTGGCAACACTGAAGAAGAAGTTACTAAAAATTGTCGTGGCAGTAATGATTGTCAAATGCAAACGTCAAAATTTAATAGTCAACCGCCATTCATTTCCGAGGGGCGGCCGTCACCTGGAACCACTTGATATCATTAGTGATTTAGTGTTACCAACATTGATTTACCTATATTTTGAGATGCTTATATCGTAGAAGGAAACAAAAATAAGAAGTTTTACAAAAAATAAAACAACAGAAACAATCAGACTTTTCGCATTCATCAAATTTCTAATCAAAGTAGCCTGGGACTTTAATTTAAAGTTGACAACAATGAATAACAGAAGTTATTAAAAATTGCGATTTTTGTCATGGCAGTATTGATTGTCAAATTCAAGCGACAAAATTTTATAGTCAACTGTCATTGGCTTCCAAGGGGCGGCTGCTGACATCGCCGTTACCTGAAACTGCTTAATATTACATCACCAGTGATTCAGTGTTGCTAACATTGATTTATATTTTAAGAAGCTTTTTGTAAAATGAAACAAAATAAGAAGCTTCACAACAAAGTAAAATAACAGAGACAATCAGACTTTCAACTTTTTCGCATTTATACTCACCATGCGTTAAATTAAATTTCTTATCGAGGTAGCCTATGACTTTAATTCAAAATTGGCAACACTGAATAACAGAAGATAGTAAATAATTATTGTCATAGTATATTGATTATATTGATTATCAAATTGGCAACACTGAACAAGAAAAGTTACTAAAGATTGTGATTTTTGTCGTGCCAGTATTGACTGTCAAATCTAAACGTCAACAGACATTCATTTTCGAGAGGCGGCTGCTAGTATCAACAGTGATTCAGTGTTGCTAACATTGAAAAACAAAATAAGAAATCACCACCAAAAAATAAAACAACACAGACAATCAGACATTTAGCTTTTTCCCATTCATACTCACCATGTGTTTAGTTTCATTTCCAATCGAAGTGGTCTGTGACTGTAATTCAAAGTTGGCAACACTGAATAACAGAAGTTATTAAAAATTGCGATTTTTGTCATGGCAGTATTGATTGTCAAATTCAAACGACATAATTTTATAGTCAACTGTCATTGGCTTCCAAGGGGCGGCTGCTGACATCGCCGTCACCTGAAACTGCTTAATATTACATCACCAGTGATTCAGTGTTGCCAACATTGATTTATATTTTAAGGAGCTTTTTGTAAAATGAACCAAATAAGAAGCTTCACAACAAAGTAAAATAACAGAGACAATCAGACTTTCAACTTTTTCGCATTTATACTCACCATGCGTCAAATTAAATTTCTAATCGAGGTAGCCTATGACTTTAATTCAAAGCTCTCAACACTGAATAACAGAAAATAGTAAATCATTATTGTCATAGCAATATTGATTATCAAATTGGCAACACTGAACAAGATAAGTTACTAAAGATTGTGATTTTTGTCGTGGCAGTATTGACTGTCAACAGTCATTCATTTTCGAGAGGCGGCTGCGGGCATCACCAGTGATTCAGTGTTGCCAACATTGATTGATATTTCAGGGAGTTTATCGTGAAATGAAACAAAAATCAAAAATAACAGCAATTTTTTATTAATATTTGGTAGGGCATACGTAATTATAAAGTAATTATTGTACATAGAGCTATATACAACATATGGTATTCACAGTCTTAAATTATTGTCGTATCTATTCAAAGTATAGTAAATGCTAGAAATAAAATTACACGGATCAAACTCTTCATTTTATGGCACAACACGGGGAGACTCACTTCTATTTACAAAAAGTTTTATAAATTATTTAAAAAATTACACAAAATATGATATTGGTAACTCACTAGTGAACGTACTCATTAGCAAGTTGGTACTGCTGCGTATCCACAATGACACTCGTATATCCAGCAGGGCTACCAACATGATTCAACTGTCCGTACACATTCTGTTGCTGTTGTTGATTATTATTAAAACACGAAAGATTAAAATGTTGTCCATGTAGTCCACTCTCCCCACAATACGGGTTCGAATTAAGATTTTGAAGATGAAGCTCACTTTCGGAAGAACTACAACTTGACGACGAAGCACTGAAGGGTCGCTGTGATTGGTTGATTAAATGGTGTTGGGTAATTTCCGGGTCGGAGTAGGGGTAGAAGAGTTCTTGGTGGGAGGAGTAGTACGGTTCTTCACTGGGAGGAAGAGAAAGGAACATGGAGTACTCGGGGGTGGGGTATGCCACCGATTCGCTGAAATCATCCTCGGGTATTGGAGGGGAAATGATAGGGGGTTGGGACCGGCTCGGTTGGTACTTGGGGAGAGGCTTGGGGGAGCTCTTGGGGGATGTGGGGACGTCCTCCCGGAGGGAGCCTTGCGCCAAATTCAGGAGCAAATCCTTGCCTTCAAGATCGCTGAAATTTTGGCAATCAGGAGAGCCATGGACGGTTTTCAACTTACCTCAAAACATAGTTGACTGAGACTATACAGTGTGGTCGGGAAGAACGCGAATTGTGGACTATGGTGGCGTAGCTTTGCATCCACACCCAGCCCCCACCCTTACTCAAAAACCGGTAGTATTTCGTCGTCACTTGGCCTTTACACAACACTGGAATAAATAATTGACAGTCAAAGTTGCCAAACTAGGAGTTAAGTTGGCAGCGTTGAATACTGAATGACAGTCAGTGTTGCCAAATTAGATATTAAGTTGGCAGCATTGAATACGGAATTGACAGTCAGTGTTGCCAAACTTACGTTGGTGGTGGGCGAACCTCATGGGCAGGATGTCGCTGCCGTGTATGTAGTGGTAGAGTGTCTTTTCGATCAGGTCCTGCGGCTCGTAGCCTGTCAGTTGGGCCACCCTGCGAACACAAAACCCCAGAAATATTACACCGCTCATTATATTGAAACAGCCTGCATAAATCCCGGCAGGCGTGTTTATATAATGCCACTTTTTACGATCGTAAAAACAATGGAAGTTTTCGAATGGGTAGCTCGTGTTACATCATCTTTATTGGTGATGAATGGGAATTGAAGCACCTGACAGTGTTGGAAACCCAACACCTGGATCGTTTCAGTTTCTATTTTTGAAAGAATATAAAATGAAATTGGCGAATTTTATTGACTTGTGCTATGCTAATAATAAGTAAATGGGGGAGTTGGAGAGTACCTGGCGTCGAGGAAGATTAGTTTTAGGTCGAGACTGGCCCGAAACATGAACATGTTGGCGTGGAGTTTGATTTCGGTGATGGCACTAGGAGGCAAGGAATGGCCTACGGCGACGAGGCCCATGTTTTGGTAACAGCCTTCGTATGGAGATGAGGAGGCGGTGAATTGCTTCACTTTGAGGTAACCAGAACAATGGATCACCTGGACAACAATACCACAAAATGAAAAAAAAAACAAAAGTTGTTGGAAGGGAGTAATTGGGTAGTCTCCCAGAGTACTGAAAAAATGTTTAAAAAATTTTATCTGTCAAAAATATTTGTCATTTGACATTTTTTATGTCTATTTAATGATACTGATGATCTTGAATATGTTTTTTTTATAATTATTTAGTAAAGGTATAAAACTTTTGCCAATAAAACCACAAATAATATTAAAGAGAGTTACAATTTAGGATACAGCTTTCTTGTTTCCTCTTCTAATAGCCTGTAGCAAAAAAGACTTAGAAAATTATTTTTCGAACAGAAATAAATAAAGTGAAAGTGCAAAATTTAAAGTTTTATAACTTTTTATATATAAATTTTTTTTTGTTGTTGTTGTCTTAGTCATCGCTCAAGGATACAATGTCACTGAGGTGCGCGACTTTCCGGACATTCTATATACAGGCTGCGCTAAAACTCGCGCCCCAAAGGAAAAATAAGGTAAGATACCATAAACATGGAAAAAATGTTAAAAAAATTTTATCTATAAAAATTTCGAAGTTATGAGGGTTTAAAGTTTGCACTTTGACTCTATATTTATTTTTTGCTACAGGCTATTAAAAGCGGAAAGGAAGGAAACCTGTAACTCTGTTCAATGTTATTTGTGGCTTTTATTGTCAAAATTTTTGTTCCTTTACTAAATAATTGTAAAAAAACATATACAAGATTATCAGTATCATTAAATAGATATAAAAAAATGTCAAATGTCAAAAAATAAATGTCAAAATTTTTTGACAGATACAATTTTTTAAACATTTTTTTCATGTTCCTGGTATCTTATCTTACTTGAAAATTTTCTCTGGGGCGCGAGTTCTGGCGCACCTGTATACAGGGTGCTTTCACTAGTTATGCAAAAAGTTTAATAGGTGATAGTAAAAGACAAAAAATGTAAAAATAACTCAATTTGCCTTATTTGAATGTTTATTTTATGAGATAGTGAAGGAGAAATTGTAAACAAAACAAAAAGAACAACAAAAAAGTGAGCCCATAAAAAATAATAAAAAAGGAAAAGTTTTATTTATATCATTTTTTTTTGTAATAGATACTACCGAATTGTATTACCGATTATTTGCAATGTAGACTTTGTAGACTGTGGAATGAAGTGCTCAAAAAAGGCTAACTTTGTTTATATTGCATTGTTTTGACGAATTTTCTGACGCTAAAATAAAAGTTGCACCTTGTTTTTGTTTTTTTTCTATCACCTTTTAAAATTTCTGCAAAACTAATTAAAATCACCCTGTACACAAAAAATATATTATTTCAATAAGAGAAAAAATATAATTAACTTTCAAAGAATTAAAACAAAGTAATAGAAAAATCAGAATTTGTAAATACAGGTTGACTCAAAAGGAGCGTACCATCCTCGGATGGTTTTTAAACCCATTTATAGTTTTTCTCAATATTGGAAATAAACGTTTTCAACCAACTTTCTTTTAAAATCACCGATTGTAGCTATGAACAATTGGTTTCTGTAGAAAAAACTCATTTTTCTAAGCTAAATATATTTTTTTATATAAACATTTTTGCATTAAATTTAGTAGGATTTTGACACTATTTCTAAAGCTTTTTTTTCTTCTTGTTTGTTATATTTAATTATTTCTTTCCAATTTTTTATTAATCTCTGACCTGACCTAAAAACACCCTGTAGAACCCAAAAATAAAAAAATTGTCTTTTTTGTTAAATAATCTTAAAAGTTTTATCTTTGGTTTTATCTCAAAATCATTCTCCAAAAATCTTCTCATAGTTTATACCTATATGTATACTATCTTTTTAACTTTTTTATAATGTTAGTGTTTTTGTTTTAGAATTCAAAATATGTAAACAGTTCACAACACAGAAAATAAAACTGAGTAAAATTTTAATTTATTTAAGCACATAAAATTAAGTTTTTGAGTAGTTTTTCTTTATAAAAGAAATTTTTTTATTTTAAATCATTGATTTTTCACAATGTAAGACACTTTTTTTGAAAAACCTTAAAATTTTCATTTCAAATTCCAATTTTTTTTTAAATTTTGATAACGATGTAAAACTTTTTTTGAATAGTAAGAAACCTTAATTGACTTTTGAATTATTCAGAAGTACCTAACAAACTGAAAACTAATTTGCAAATTGGCATATGATTAGTTTTAATTAGCGTCCAATAATTGGATAACACATGTTTACGCTTTAAAGAGTCCTCACGTACCCACACACAAAGGAACTAAATCAGAGCTGCATATGCATGATGTGTGCACTTAAATCTTCCTTCATTTATTCCAATCCATCATTCATGTCATACATGCAATTAAATTTGTATTTCGAAGAGAAACCAATGTAACACCTGATTTCATTTTTGAAAGAAATATTTACGTGCTTTCTCTATTCAGAAGAAAAACCTAGTCATCAATAAAGATCTTTGACAAGAAATAGTCCATCATTTCACGCCCTTTCGTCATTCCTGAAACTACGTGATTTTTGTTGGATTTTTGAGCGCAATAAAGCAATGCAAAGGTGCGATAAATTTCTCCTAGTCGTGGCCATCTGCACCGGGAGCTAGTTAATGTATGCGAGGAAACGCGCGAGGGCGCGTGACTAGACAAAGGGCTAAAACGGCCCTGAATCGACCTAGACCAATACTTCATACAGCCGTCAAAAGTCGCGTTTCGCTCGTTTATTCACTGTTTGTTTTCTTTAACATTGCTCGGAAATATCGATCGCTGTTTATCGAAGAAATGGATATTTGGAAAGATAACAAAAAGAATGAGTGGCGAGGTATTTTTAATGAATGAGTGCCACTTCCGCACAAGTGGACTTTTTAAAGTGACACTTAGGGACATACCTGGACTAGAATTGAGACACATAACCTGAATTCGTCCAAACATGAAGCGAATTTAAAAAATTTGAATTTTACTACAATTATGTTATTGCATCCCTTGGTCGGAAAGTAATACGAAATGTAATCGTGAATAAAATATCAAACTTCAGTGCTCTAAGCGCTCGAGGTAATGTATTTCCCAACTGGATTGTAGTATACTATTATTCATTAAAACTTCCTTTTGTTGCTTTTTATAAGCTTATATTTTTTTGCGATTATCTGCTTAAAAATTAAAAAAGAGATTTTAAATTCTTCTTTTCCTGTCTTAGAAATTGTCAAAAGTCAAAAATGTCATAGACTAAAATAAAATTAAATATTATTTTAGATTCTTCATTTTCTCATTTGATGACTATCAATATCGATTTTTTAAGATTTTTTTAATTAAGAAAAAATTTTCGGGTGATTTGATGGGGGAATAAATTAAGTTCAACTTTTTTTCCGTTACGAATTTTTTTGATTTATTAAACTTACAGTAAAGCAATTTGCAAATTTTCAGTACTACCAAAATAAGAGCAATAATTTTTTTAATCCTTCAATTTTTCACGTGTCAAAATTGAAAACTCTTAAGAAAAAAAAGCATTTTTTAAAAATAGACAAACTCATCTTTTTGGGTACATTTTCTCATCATACAATACTCTGTATACGTATTTATGAAAATATTACAGTTTTAAAATAACTTGAAAACTAAATATAAAAAGAAATAAAATGTTGAGATAAAACTAAGATTGTTTAACAAAAAAGACAAAAATTTTATTTTTTGTTACTACAGTGTGTTTTTGGGGTAGCTACGTAAAACTTTGCATGGAGATTTCAAAATTGCTTTTTTTCTGCCTTCAAAACTTTAATTTTAAAAAGCTTAGAAATTGTCAAGAAAATCATAGATAAATAAGTAAACACTGTGTCAATTTTATATATATTTTTTATAAACACATTGTAATAGTCTATGTAAAAAGATAGTAAAGATTTTAGTTTCATTTTTCCCAGTCGGTTAAAAATCGATTTTTTGAGATTTTTTTAATTAGGAAATCTTGAATCTGGCAAAAATTTTCAGATGTGTTCATGAGGGAAAAATTAAATAAATTGATTTTTTTTGTTATAAATCTTTTTGATTTATTTAACTTACAGTAAAAGCAATTTACAGATTTTTAGCACTACCACAATAATAGCAATAATTTTTTTCACGTATCAAAATTGAAAACTCCTTAGAAAAAAAAAGGATTTTAAAAAATAGACAAACATCTTTTTGGGTACATTTTTTCATCATACAATACTCTGTATATTTATGAAAATATTACAGTTTTGAAATAATTTGAATACTAAATAAAAAAGAGAACCTTAAAAAACAATGTGAAGTTATTAAAACAAAATTTTGAGATAAAACTTTTAGTTAACAAAAAAAGCAAAAATTTTATTTTTGTTGCTACAGGGTGTTTTTTGGGTAGGTACGTAAAACTTTGCATGGAGATCTCAAAATTGCTTTTTTCTGCCTTCAAAACTTTAATTTTAGAGCTTAGAATTTGTCAAAACTAAAAAAAATCATAGATAAATAGTAAAATGTATAGTAAAATATAATTAAAAGCTTCTGACAAAAATAAAAAATAAATCTTTTTGTAAAGGTAGTGGTAGGTAGTTAAAGATAGTGAAGTTTTTTGGTTTCATTTTTTCCAGACATTAAAAATTGATTTTTTGAGATTTTTTTAATTAGGAAATCTTGACTTTGGTAAAAATTTTCAGATGACTTCATGAGGTAATAAATTAAATGAATTGAATATTTTTCTGTTATGAATCTTTTTGATTTATTAAACTTATAGTAAAAGTAATTTGCAAATTTTCAGGACTACCAAAATAAAACCATTATTTTTTTTAATTCTTCAGTTTTTCAGGTGCCAAAATTAAAAACTCTTAAGAAAAAAAAAGGATATTTTAAAATAGACAAACTTATCTTTTTTGTCCTTTTTTTATTCATAGAGTAATAAACTCCATATTTATCAAATTATCAGAGTTTTGAAATAACTAGAACATGAAACTTAAAAAAAAAATGAAAACCTTAAAAACACGATGTGAAGTTTTTAAAATAAAAATAAAAACGATTTTGAGAAAATGGGTCTGGTCGTTATAAGACTAAGATTATTAACAAATCAAAAGATTGATTTTAGTTAACACAGAGTATTTTTTAGGTAGGTTCGTAAAACTTAGTTTGAAGATTTCAAAATTGTTTAATTTTTCTCTTATTAAGACTTCAATTATAAAGTTTAAAATGTGTCAAAAATAAAAAACTCAGACTTCAAAATAAATTAATATGCTCGAAAACATAATGAAAATTTTATCGTCGTGTACAATATAAAATTTTATTCAATCCTCACGAATTTTGTAGTCAATTTCGTCAATGTTTATAAATGTCAAAGTAAAATTCAATAATGAAATCTAATGTCAAAGATCGTTAGCGCAGATATACAACAATGGATGCATTTTTTTTCATCTAGACTAAAATTTCATTTTAACATGAAGAAAAAAATAGATAAAATTCAATTTTAACATAGAAGATTGAATAAAAATATTTTTTAGGTTTTGTAGTCACACGGTAATAGTCTATCAAAAATAGTGAATTTTTTTGATTTAATTTTCCCAGTCATTGATGTTTTTATTTTTTTTTTGAATTAAGAAATCTTGAGTCTAGTAAGTTGAACTTTTTTGTTTTGGTTATGATTTTTTTTGATTTAATAAACTTACAGTAAAAGTAATTTGCAAATTTTTAGGACTATTGATATGAGTAATTATTTTTTTAATTCTTCAATTTTTCACATTACAAAAATTGAAAACATTTAAGAAAAAAATAATATTATAATAAAATAATTTTTTTTTGGTACATTTTCATACAATAAACTCTATACTTATTTATGAAAATAAAAAAAATATAAAATGAGAGGTAAATCTTTTTAAAAACTGTTCCAAAATTAGTAGAAAATAAAATTACGATTACCTTTTTCCTAAAACTCTCCTACCTTGTATCCCCCATTCGTAAGCCCCGCATTTCTCTTCGCCAGGACGCATTTCATCCGCAGGAAAAACGCCCTTTCGCTCTCATAATCCTGCTGTGAGGCCAACACCGGAATCGTGGGACTCAAAACAGCCGTCATTTCGTCATGGTCCGCAGGATGGATGTACTCATAAATGCTATTCCCCGTGAGTTCTACCTGAGAAAATCCAATTGATTTACACGTAACAACAATAATCCAAAAATCAATTACCTGCGACAGCCCCAAATGCACCGACGCTGTCTCTGATATGTACATAATTTTCCCATCTGGGGCCACGACGAAGATAAATCCGTCGAGAGTTTGGAGGAGATATGAGCCGAGTTCTTTGATTGGGGCTTCGCGGGGGTTGGTGACGACCGGAGTGGCCCCCCACGCGTCCCCCAAACCTGGAAAAAAAGCATTTTCTTTGAAACTCGTCCTTTATTATTTAAATAAAGTTTTATTCGTTGCGACACCACATAAAAGAATATCTAATTTCGCTCCGATGTTTATTTAGGGTCACTTCCTACTTTACATTATAAAAACGCAAATGTCTACAGTGAGGTTTCTAACGCCTCCTGTAATTTGTATAAAGAGACATTTAAATTAGTTTTGTCAATATGTCATGTGAACTTGTACGATGCTGGTAAATACATAGATTTTATTGTGTTCTAATGATGTTATCTGCCTTTTTGGACAACTGCAAGGCCTGAATTTAGATATGAATCGGGGGTTCATTTAGATATTTCAATTCTCAAAAGCAGATAAAAAAACGTTTTTCTCTAGATCTGATTTGCCAAATTGAAAATAGCTTTAATAAATAAAAGTATTGTCTTATATAGGGTGCGCCAGAACTCGCGTCCCAGAGAAAAATGCCATGAGGTACATGGCAGGTAAGACACCAGGAACATGGAAAAAATGTTAAAAAAATCTATTTATAAAAATTTCGAAGTTATGAGAGTTTCAATATTGCACTTTGACTCCATTTCTCTTAGAACAATAACTTTTTTTGGTACAGGCTATTGGAAGAGGAAACAAGGAAGCTGTACCTATCCTAAATTGTAACTCTATTCAATGTTATGTTATTTATATCCATAAAAAAATTTTTGACAAATAGAATTATTTACACATTTTTTTCGTGTTCCTAGTATTTTATCTTACTTAAAACTTGTCTCTGAGGCAAGAGTTCTGACAGCCTGTGTACAGGGTGTTTTCTCAATATTGCGAAAAATTGCAACCACATCTTTTACACACTAATATTTTTTTTTACAAGTAAAGTCGAAAATGTGCTTGCAATATGACGTTTCAGTGGTTTATTTCCATTTTTTTTTCAAATAAAAAACACGTCTAATAATTTATGATACGATCACGTGTGTAGAGGAAAAAAGACTAGGCATTAAAACGTCATAATTTAAACACTTACGGTACGCACGCCACTGGTACAAAACTGAAGTGGTTTTGAAGAAACTAACAGATTTAATTTTTATTATGAAAATTTACCACCCTGTATATTCCGGAATGAACCTTTATACGACTATCGTTTATTTATCAAATTTGTATTATTTTTGATGTAGATATGTGGCTGAAATTTTTTGCAATATTAAAATACACCCTGTAGGTGTAACACAAAGACGTTAATCTTTTTTATTAAAAAAATTATATCAACGTTTCGTCAATCTAAGAAGATTGCAAACCTAATTAAGATTTCTTTGTTTTTCTATTAGTGAGATATTCACTTGGTAAGTTTTGGAAAACACTCTGTACATTTCATCAGATATAAATTTTTTTGTAATTCATCGAACCGATAATTTGTTGAATTTTTGATAAAGTCAAACACAAAATTGCACTTACAGTGTGTTTTCTTTAATGATGTATACATTGTAATTACAAACTTTTAAGTTAGGTATATAGTGTCCCAACCAATTGATAAAAATTGTCATTGGCAAAATTATTTTTAATTATACAAGAGGTCTCAGAAATAAGTTACATTACAAACTTAAGTGTTTATTTAATGAAACAGTTTTTTTTTAATATAGCTTATACCTAAGATTTATAATATTATAAGATTTTTTTACATTAGAAAAGGAATTTTTGAAGGAGGAAAAAATTAAAGTGATTTTGTTATACAGTTTTTTTAAATGTTGTACACTCTAAATTACAAACATATTTTTATGTGCGAAAATATCGATTTAAAAAATAACTTGAGTTTTATTCAAGTGTTCAGTTTTTGCTTTTATTCTTACACTACTCAAAATTTGTCTGCTATTTCCTCTTTTTTTTTGTCTAATAATATCGATAATAATGTGTCTTTGTCTAACAATGAGTTTTCAATAAAATACTTATACTTATAACAGTACTTATACAGGGTGTTTTTTTTAATATTACGAAAAATTACAATCACATATTCTACATAGAAAAATAACAATAACAAAACATGAATTTTATCTGCAAATGTCACAAAAATGACCACTTTCATGAGTAAATGTCCCAAGTAAAAGTTAGCCATAGAGCAAAAATTCTATTTTTGCACCTAAGCGTTTCTACTTTTACCATGACATTTCTTGTCTCTTTTGCTGCTTTAACAATTTCTGGAGAGGTGCAATGTGGTCATCAGCATTTGATATTTTGCACTACTAACTGCACTAGTTAAATTAATAAACACTTTCGAAAATCTCAACACAAATTCCGATATTGACGCGTGACATTTGTTTATATCATTATTTGCAAAGCGTCTTGATTATGTTGTTTATTTACTTGCCAATTATAGTGTTATTCTTTACTCTCGATCTGAATACGTTTGCGGATAAAATAGTATGGAGTAAAAGTGAGTTTATGTAGAATAAATATCCTGTATTATACCATTTTAAATAACCGCTACATCATATCAAACAAAAACATACAAAATTTTTATTATTACGGTTTTATTCGAAAAAGTTTTAGACAAGACACCCTGTATTATAAAGAAATATTCAAAAGCTACACTCTTACACACGTTAAACGTGTGATAACGATAAACGATAAAGCACAACAATGAATAAATAAGTTACATTGTTTTACACTTTTGGAACACCTCTATAGTAGTTTTTTTTTGTGAAAAATTGAATATGATGTTTTTTTAAATAATCTACACGTGTTTCGTCACTAAATTGGTACCATCAGGACAATTGTAAAACTAACTTTGTCGAATTTGTAGGAATTTTTACTTATATACAGGGTGGTCAGAACCAAAAGATAAAATAAACAATAAAATTCTTACCTATGTTATCAAAATTTTTCATCAAGAAGCTCATTTCTGTAATGACAAATTTAATAGATATAAAATATCAGTTCTTGCCAACTACAGGGGTAGTTCAAATTTAAAATTTACTAAAAGTGGATCGATTTTATCCAATTTTTAATCAGCTTTGCAGATTACCGTTTTATTAATCGTCAAAATGACGTTATTTTGGAAAGTTCTAATTAATGAAAATTGTGGAAAACTCACCATCTGGAAAAACTTGTCTCATCTTCAAATACGAGGTCGTAAGTCGTATAACGGACGCTTTATCCAACTGTGACGTAATGGCAGCAGGAAGTGGCAACAACTTGGCCAATTCTATAAATTCGGCGTTTTCTTTCTCCCTGCGGGACCTCGCCGCATTTTTACTTTTTTCCTTCATAGCGCCTCGAGCGACGCTCAGCGATTCTGCAACAAAACAAACCAAAATTCACTATAGAATAATTACAATTTTCAAGCACACTCGACGCAACTTCAACAACCCTCAACCCCTTGTTAATTCCAACAACATTTCGAAAATATTTGTGTTCATTAACGAACCGACATCACTGATGCTCATTCCTCACAATTATTTGTAATTTAAATTATTTTTCAAGGGCTCGTCTGCATTTTTACCCACTTTTTTGTCGTCTTGTGTTTCCGAATGAGAACTTCATTATTGGATTTTTTTTTAATAGCACCAAACATGGAAATTGCAAAACACTACACTGATGTGTTGGAAGATAGAGCAAAATTGTAGAAATGTCGAGTCTCTAGCTTCAGGGGTGTTTCAAATTGCCTCTTTAATGGACCAACAGGTCGTTACAGGTGGTGGGTGGTAAAATGCATGGGTATTTAGAGAATGAAGGGACAAAGGAGGTAACGCCTTGCAAATGGTGGGAATTCCCCAGATAAAAATGACCATTTGGGGGTTGTATTTCTATTATTAGGTACATTTTTACGATCATTTTACAAATAAAGAAATAGTTAAATCAACTTTTTTTTTTGATTTCTTTTTAAAGCTTTATTGAGTCTGCATTCTAAAATAGATGTCTCATTAGTCATTACTATCAAGAAATTGTATTTTTTAACACAGGGTTCACCAATTAAAGAGTTTTTTTTAATGGTCAAAACCTAAAAAGCTACTTCTCTTAGATCGAAAAGGAGAAACAAGAAAATGTAAAAAAAGGTATTTATAAGTTGTATCAAAGCCATAAACACATCTTTCATCCTCTTGTATCGTTTCTTAATATGTATTTTGGGAAAATTTAAAATTCCAAATGCTTATAATTGTAAATATCTATTTCATTTGAGACAGCTTTGAAAGTAGCCTACTTGTAACTTTTTTCGAAAAATATTCATAGCCGACTTCCCAGTAATTTAACAAAAGTGTCGGTCATTTTGTAAACAAAAAGTTGAATAATTCCGAAACGGAAAGAAATAGTCCTGTAATAGTTACACAAATTCTATTTTTTTTACGTAGAAACTAATAACGTAAAAATATGTAGGGTGTTTTCCTCAAAATAAAAATACAACACCCAGTGTATAATAAAAATATTTTTAATATGTGCACTTTAAGTAACGCTCCAGAGAAAAATTTCAAGTAAGATAAGATACCAGGAACATGGAAAAAATGTTTAAAAAATTCTATCTGTCAAATAATTATGACATTTATTTTTTAACATTTGACTTTTTTTTGTCTATTTAACGATACTGATGTTCTATATGTTATTTTAGAATTATTTAGTAAAGGTACAAAAATTTTGCCTATAAAAGCCACAAATAACATTAAAAAAGAGATAGAATTTAGAATACATCCTTGATTCCCCTTCTAATATCCAGTAGCAAAAAAACAGAAATAAATAGAGTCAAATTGCTAAATTTAACCTATCATAACTTCGAAATTTTTATAGATAATTTTTTTTTAACAGTTTTCCATTACCTTATATGGCATTTTTCTCTGGGGCGCGAGTTCTGGAGCAACCTGTATACACGGCATAATGATATATTAAATAGCAAAAAAGGTATACACCGATTTGGCACCCCTAGCCTAAGACATTTTTTCGGAATAAGTTTTATTCCGTTAGCGGTAAACTATTTTTTTTCTAATTTGGTTGTGAAAAGCAACCATTGTGATATGTTATTTTAGTTGTAAAAGTGTTTAATTTTATCACTAGTTATAAAATATGACATTATTTAATTACTAGTGTTAAAAAGTGTGACATAAAGAAAACAAATAATATTATTTTCATAGCAATGCCTATGCTTTTCACAACCAAAGTGGAAAAAATCTTGTATAAAACACGATTCAAAATGGCTGTTTTTTGCACACGTCTAGTAAAAAACACGGTCATTTTCCAACTTGTTGCATAAATAGCTAACATTTTTTTAGTAACAGTTTTTATCATAGACGATTTTGGTTCAGAAAAACGAAATTTAAAACTTTTATTTCCTTAATTTTGTTATTTCTGTTGATTATTGTTTTTTTGAAAGAGTTTTTATTTTATGTTTTGATTTCCAAGTGTTACATTTTTTTTGTATTTATTAGTTTATATTATTTACTGATTTGTGTTATTTTATCCTTAGCTTTTATAATTTTTATATTTCTTTATTTTTTATATTTTTTAATCTTTTACACTTTTATATTATATTCCAATTTATGGTTTTAGAGATCCTGTCTTATGGTTTCATTTATAATTTCCGTTAGAAAAAATATGGTTTTATGTTCCTATTTTTGTATATAACATATTTTTGTGTTTGTAATAAAATATGTATTTTTAAACTGCGATGCCCCTCTCTAAAAAAAATTGTAACGGCGCCCATGAACTTTAATAATCTTCTTAAAAAATATATTTCTATGAAAAAACTTAAACCAGAAAAAAAATTGAAATGAAAACCAGAAATTAAAAAAGACATTTGCTTTGTCATCAAATACCAACCGTTCAACGCGATTTCCCCTAGTTCTTGTTGCAAAGTAAAAAACACCAAAACGTTTTTCCATGCATCGAGAATAAATGGAAAAATTATGTTTTTAAGCAATGGGTACAAAAAGATATTTTTATATTAATTAGATAATTAATAGACGCTGCAAAATACTTTACGTTATCTTTTTTCCTTTTCCATTTAAGCAAATACGCAAAATTTTGATTAAAACAAGCAAAAATTTGAAACAGGTCAGTGGATCAATTACAATTTAATTTATTTACAAACGATTCTTAACAGATTTCGCTCTAATAAATCACTCTTTCCGACGTATAATTCTGTAATTGGTGTAGAGGTCACGTTTTGGCTAGTGTAAACAATGCTCTCAAATCACGTCCGTTTGTTATTATCGAGATAAATACAAAGTATCATAGATGGTAATGTTGCATGTAATCTAAATTTGCACTCACTAGCAAGCTGGATAAATATACCATTGTTAATTATTGCTTTAGACACGTACGACAGATTACTAGGATATTAACTCATGATGGAACGTTTATTATTACACCTCCACTCAATATTGCGCTCTATTTTTAAACTTTTGTTTCACATTTCACATCAAACCTTTCTATATCCATCAAGAAATCGGATAAATTTTCCGCCTTTTACAACCTTTCGCAGGTAATTTGGGAATTCCTTTAGGAAACCCAAAACATCTGGAAGCAATTCAGCAAAACACCTTAATGTATTTATACAACCTGCTCATTTAAATTTTAGTATTTGAGAGTGGAGATGAGTTCAGGTTCTCACACTTTGGCAAGTGTTATTGCAACTACAGGAAATTGTCAATAAGAAACACCGAAACAATAAAAACTAGGTAAGAAGGACCTGAGGCACGTTCTCGAAATTTTTATGAATGGACCGACGGTAGTGGACGTAGTAAAACGGTAAAAAGGGCACAAGAATCCCAAAAATGCAGAATTTACAGCCGAGATTCTGAAAGTGTGTTGGCGAAACTGATATGTGGGTTACCGACGCATCCGTCATTAAAGTCTCGTTATTTTCAGCGAAGCCATTGTCCTGAAAATTCCGGGAACAGCACTGAAGCACCGCAATAAAGCGCCCTCTGTCTGCCGCCAACGTAAATAACCACGTGCATAACAACACATTTATGTACCTCATCGAATCGTTTTCGAAAAGAAATCCTTCGATATGTGCGCAACTTTAATTACTCACGACCGGTAATTTTCCTCATATTTTAGTTTAATAAATTGTTTCCAATTTCTAAACGGTGAAACTTTATGTCTACGGTGTGAATTATCACGACTATAAATCATTTTATTGAAAATAATAATCACTTTCATTTGCCGGAAATAATTTATTTATTGGCAACTAATTGGAGAATTGCGGTGAGAGCTTTTCAGAGAACCTTTACACATTTTTTAGACATAAACTTAGACAATATGTAGTCTATTTGTGCTCTATCCATAAATAGATATTATTTATTTTATTGTTAAAGTACTGAGAACAACTATAACTTCCTAGTGATTATTTAAATTAGCTTGAAAGAAGCAGGAAACACAGAGTTTAACGCACAAATCTCTAAAAAAATAAAAAATCAAACAAAAAAACGCAATGTGACTTTTAAAAATATGTGTACGGTCTTAGTACTGTTAAAACTAATTCCTGTGGGTGTATCTTCTGTTTTGTATCATTTTAATAAAGCAAATAAAAATTAAAAAAATGTAAATGGTCTTAAAGTAAGAACACACGGTATAGTTAAGCAGTTAAAAAATTATAACAGTATCAAAATTTGAAAACCAGTAATAAGAAAATAATTATAATTATAATGTTTATTAATTTAACTAGTGCAGTTTGTAGTGCAAAATGCGCAAAAGTGCGTTTATTAATATGGCAAATACGACAAAAAGTTATTAAGAAAAGTTGTTTAGAACATTTAGGCCTCTATACTAAATTTCAGAATCATCGGCCAACTATGATTTTTTTGAGATAATTAATTTTTATTAACAAATTCATTTAGTACTAATAATTTATTCGTAATAAAAAAATTCTTTGATTTGCGAATTAATATACCTACATAAAAAAATGAAAAATCATAGTTGGGCCGATGATTTCGAGATTTGGTTAACAAGCCCAGATGTTGATTCTAAACAACAAAATGTACTTTAAATAATTTTCAAACTAAAATTATGTTAGAAATTTGTCTTTAACCAAGCAGGACTAAACCCCTAAAATAAAAATTTAAATCAAGATTTTTTTTTATCGTTTACAGGAGTCGTTTTACTTATCCGGGGACACACTGTAGGTATATGTATAAAACTTATTAAACAATTAAATTTTAAAACATTATTTTGGTGTCAACAATGCGTTAACAAAAATTATTTATTCCAGGACCGTCATCGGCTTTTTTTCAAATTACCATTATTTTTTTTTCCATATATTTTTGACTTGATAAAAGCCGAAAAATCAAGTTTTAATTTTAGATT